AGAATCCTTGCCTCCAAGGAGCCACCTGGTTTAACCCTCTCCAGGACAAATCTGTTTGTTTTCCTAGCAGTCCATGGTATTCTCAATACTACATTTTATAATGCATTTATAAGCTCACAGAGAGGTCCTGAGAAGAAATATTAAGAACTGAAACATAAGAACAGACTTCTTCTTACATTTGATTTTAATAAACAGAAAACATTGTATGGCTGCTATATTAGTGGTAAATGGCAATAATGGACTTCTTCAAACATCGTAATGATATAAGTACCTTCTCTTAATAATCTGGCAAAGAGAGGGTCGCACATATTTGTAGTTTAAATATTTCTTTATTTTAGGTGCCAATACAATACCTGACTTCCATTTTAAACTTTTCTTGTCCATTTAACTTTCCTATTGTTGTGCATCATTGAGTCAGAACTAACCCATAGCTGACCTTCCAGCAGGTGTTCAGAGGCTGTAAATCACAAAGGAGGAGGTGCCCATCTTTCTCCCATAAAGTATCTGGTTTTTTCATACTTTCGATTGGGCAGCACAATTCTTACCACTAAGCAACCAGAACTCTTCTGTTAGCTACCCATTATACCCACTGTAGTTGCTAGGTGTTGATTCCAACTTTTATCAGCCTTTCATATGGTCCCTGAAGCTATAGATTATTACAGAAGGTGATTATCTTTTTTTCCCCTCAGGAGCTGCTGGTGCATTCAAACCACCAAACTGTTGGTTAATACCCCAACATATTATGCACTATACTATTTAACTAATTGTGCTGAATCCCTCTTCCTAGGGTGATGAAGAAGCCAGTCTTGGGCTACCAATAAGTCCTTTCATGGACCGTTCTGCTCCTCAGCTAGCCAATCTTCAGGAATCTTTCATCTCTCACATTGTGGGTCCTTTGTGCAATTCGTATGACTCAGCTGGACTAATGCCAGGAAAGTGGGTGGAAGACAGTGATGAGTCAGGAGATACTGACGACCCAGAGGAAGAGGAGGAAGGAGAGGAAGCACCAACTGAAGAGGAAACCTGTGAAAATAGCGGATCTCCAAGTAAGTGATAAAAATACGGTTCCTAGGAGGTTTTCCTAGCTTTGCCTTCTTCCTTAGGCTCAGATGAATGCTGTTCTTTAAATAATTGTGTATTTTTTTAAATCAAGATATTATTCTTCTGGATTTGATCCCTCGTCTTTAGTATCATAATAATAGAAATTACCTATATTGGAATCTTTAGTAATACTATGCATCATACAAGGGTATGTCCTCTTTCATGATTTTTTACTTGATCTTAGCCGAAAGGCCAAGAAGCAGTATCTCTCTCATGATGTTTTTTTTAAAAATCCGTGGCCCAACAGACCTATTTTTAATTGGTTTTGGGCAAACATTCTTCTAGGTCATATACCTCTGGTCTGACCACTTGCTGTACAGAGATAACTCGTGGTTGCTGTGAAACTGAACACTGTAACACTGATGTGTCAAATGTTAATAGTGATTACCGATGGTGAACAGTGTTTGGTGGAGCTCTCAGATTAAAACAAGCTTGGAAACAGGAGTGGCATCCACTTCCAAAATAGCTTGCCTCCGGAAACCCTGTGACCCTGGAGAAAGGATGAAAGTTATACAAGCATTCAGGTCTTTCGTTTATAGGGTCGCTATGAGTCACCTACAACTTGATAGCACTTAACAACAACAACAACAATTGAAGCTTGTTCATAAAAATGCCTTAATAACTTGGGTTGAATGGAAATTCTGTTACCATACAGATCCACCAAGCCTTTCATTGACATATTTAGGGAAAGCTCCTCCCTGGAGATACCTAGGGAAAGAGCTTTTCAAGGAGAAAAGAAAGCAAGATGTGTAAAGGATCTGAACTAGCAACTTCGCAAGTGTTTCAGGAACATCTGGAAAGCTGGAATGGTTGTGACAGGAAAAGGGGTGGGTGATAAGAGAAGGTGCTCTGGTGGTGTAGTCAGTAGCAGGTAACTCAAAGGCTTTGCATTCCGCGCATTTCGAACCCATCAGCAGTTGTGCAGGAGTAAGGTGGGAAATCTCTTCCCCTTAGGATTTACAGCCTCAGAAATCAGAACAGACTCTACGCCAGCAAATTTTGAGTTTTTTAAGTTTGAGCTTTGGTGCTGGAGAAGAGTAATGAATATACCATGGACTGCTGGGAGAACAAACAAGTTCATCCTGGAGAGGATGAAGCCAGACTGGTGATCTGATTCAGAGAAGTCACAGTCTTGAAAACCCAGTAGAGCCCTCATACCCTGAGCACATGGGGTTACTTGGGTCAGAACTGACTCACTGGCAACTAATAACAATGTAAAGCACTTAGCCGCTAATCAGAAGGTTTTGTATTCAAACTGAGGTGCAGTTCAGGGTGAAAATAATGCGACAGTCTGCACCCCTAAAATTAATAACTTTAGTATCCCTCTGAGGCACTCTGCTTTATCCTATGGTCTTGATTTGAGTTAGAATTGAAACATCAATTGATTATGGACTAGATAGTCACAATACAAACTTTGGCTTTTATGATGAAAACTAATGGAAAGCCATCAGTTTCTGAGCAGAAGAATTAGTTGACTCAACTACAGGTTGTTCCCAGTTTACAACAGGATTCCAAACAGGACTGTTGCAAATTAGTGCTACGTAAGTCATATTCCTTATTTTGTTTTCATTTTCCTTTTTATTGCTTTTTATTATCAATATATTTTTAAATCTAATCATTATTTGTCTTTAGAGGTTGGAAAATTTTATATAAATATATTGATATATTTTAATAAATCCATCCATACATTTATAAAAACTGAACAAATAATAAAAAAATTATGCTAAGGATGAAGAAAAGTTGGATAATACATTGTTTGAAGTTCAGTAATGTGCACTTTGTGGATGATTCTGAATTACCTGCATTATCACTGGGAATGAAGTTACTATTTCTACTCTGATATTAATAAGAATTGTTTATATGATCCTTATATTTAGGTTGGGGTGTGAGGTTTTTTCCATTCACACATTTCATGGTAACATTTCATGTGCATTTAGAACCTGTCTATCAACATTAGCATAGTGATCTACATTTGGTCCCATTTTTTTTCATTTCTTTTTTAAAATTTTTATTATTATTAATTTTAATGAAAATTTACAGAGAATTTGGATTTCCATTCATTCATTGTTGCACTTTTCTACCTGCCCACTCCCCCTCCAGTTCACTCTTCCCTTTGAAAAGTAAAATTATTTCGTTGTTTTATAATCCCTCCCCTCAAGTCCACTCCACTATGCAGCCTTTGTTCTGGACTCCTATCATGACAATAATACCTAATAACATATCCCTTTTAAACAGCTCTCTCCTTCATCTGTTTCAATGCATAATTTCAAATACATACTTTATCTCTTATTTCTCAGTCTCCTACCAACCCCAATGTCAGACCAGTTTTACAACAGTGGCACTATACAGTATTTATCCTTTGGCAACTGAGATATTTCACTCAGCATAATGTCCTCCAGGGCCACCCATTTTGAATAATATTTCATGAGTTCCTTGTTTTTTTAATGCAGCATAGTTTTCCATTGCATGAATATATCACAGCTTCTCTATCCATTCACTTGTTGATGGGCACATAGGTTGTTTCCAACTCTTTGTTATTGTGAACAACGCCACGATAAACGAGTGAGTGCATGTCTCTGCTCGAGTGGGAGTTATGCTTTCTTTGGGGTATATTCCCAATAGTGTAATTGCTGGGTCAAATGGGGTTTTTTGCAACTTTTTGAGAAAGTGCCATACTATGGAAGGCAGTATGGCGCTTTCTCAAAAACTGTCTGATATAGTTTAAAAACTAACGTTAGATAGCAGTATTTTGAATACTAGGTTATTAAATGGAAAATGTGTACATGTGAGATTGATAACATCAGTAAATTGTGTCCTTAGTATTAGTGTATATTGTTGTTGTTATGTACAATAAAATCAGAATCAACCCGTAGCTGACCCCTCTGGCAGGTTTTCAGAGGCAGTTAATTGAATGGGAGGAGATTGCTTACCCTTCATCTGTGGAGTATCTGGTGGATTTGAACTTTGTCCCTTTGGGATTGCAGTACAGCTACTTGCCACCAGGCCAACAGAGGCTAAAACCCACTGTCATTGAGTCGATTCTGACTCAGAGACTCTGTAGGACAAAGTAATTCTATACTACAGCTATATATCTTTACAGAAGCAGACTGATCTTTTCTTTCACAAAACGTTTTGTGCATAGACTCAGACCACTGGCTTTCACTTTCAAAGTCTGTTTTATGACTGGTTTAGTGAGACATCTCTAAGAGAGTGGCCATGGTCAAGATCCCCTACTTACCTAAACTAAATTACAGCTTAATAATAATTGTGTTCTGTTCTGCTCCAGTGCTCTTTTCCACCTGAGCAAACTGGGGCATTTTGCTGCCTAATTTCTCCTTTAAGTCTTGGTAATCAAACTGCAATATTATTCTTTCTTTCTCAAAATACAAACGGAATCATACACTCAATCAATACCCAACTATCAATACACAGTGCCATGAGGTTTCCTTTACAAAATAAAATAAGATATAAAAATGAAACAAAATTACTTTATAAGTACAATTCATCAGAACCTCAATATGTTGCAAAGGAGGAATTTTCTTGCTGTTGTTAAGTACCCTTGTGTCAGAACCAGTTTGTAGCTGAACCTCTAGCAGGGTTTCAAAGACAGTAAATCATGCGAGAGGAGATTGCCCATATTTCTCCTGAGGAACAGCTGTGCATTTGAACCATTAAGCCACTATTGTATAGACTATATAATGATTTCTTACTTTCTGATTAAGGAAGCTCTGGTGGCCTATTGATAAGAAGCTATACTGCCATTCTAAAGGCACATGGTTCAAATCCACCAGTTACTCTGCAGAAAAAAGATGGGAAATCTCCTCGTGTGCAGTATAGCTTCTTAGAGTGCAGTAATTTATCAGTAATGCCATGCAAATTTGACTTTAAGCAAATTTTTGCTTAGATTTTATCCTATATATGAACTTGTTTTCTTTCTCTATCATCTTTATTTTCTTTTTTTAAATAATTTTATTTTATACTGGTTTACTTAACAAAGTTTGTATACATTGTTTTTCACACCACACCTTTCCCATTTACCTTACCCACTACTCCCTCCTCCTATCAAATTGTGTGACCCTATGATTACCCCTCCACCACCTATCCTCTCTCCTTTGCTCCTCCACTCCCCTCCTTGGATCCTCATTCAAGTTTTACCAGTTATCTATTTCTACAATAATGGCCTTATTAATAAATGATATATAATGGCAATATTTGTCCTAATGAGACTGAATTAGTTCACTGAGCATAATGCTTTCCAATCTCTCCCATGTTAAGTAGTGATTTTCAAGATCATTTCTTTTGTGTGCTATGTATTTTTCGATTGTGTGACTGTACTATAATTTATTGAGCCATTCTATTATGGTTGGACATTCGGGCTTTTTTCCATGTTCTTATGATGGTGAGTAACACTGCTGTGAACATTTGTGTACAGATCTCCTTTTGTGCATCACTTCGGATTTTCTCAGGGTATATTCCAGGCAGTGGAATAGCTGTGTCATATAGTACTTCTATGTTTAACTTTTTGAGTAAGCGCCAAACTGCCTTCCAGAGTGGTTGAACCATTTTACAATTTCACCAACAATGTGTAAGAGTCCCTATCATGCCATATCCTCTTCAAGATTTATTATTTGCTTTGCTGTGCTGTCAAACTTTGCCACTGCTACTGGGGTGAGATGGTATCTCATTGTGCTTTTGATTTGCAGCTCTCTTATTGCCAGTGATTTTGAGCATTTCTTGATGTATCTGTTGGCCATTTGAATATCTTCCTTTGTGAAAAGTCTTTCCTTGGCCTTTGCTAATTTTTTAATTGTGTTATCTGTCTTTTTCTTGTAAACTTTTTATATGAGACTTTTGTCTGAAATGGTTTTGGTTGTGTGCCCCCCCCCCATCAGTAGGTTTTCTTTTCATTCTATTGGAAAATGGTTTTGATACACACAGGGATTTA